CGTTCAAAAAATACTGAAACATCAACTATGCCATATTTTCTACAAGAAAATTCTAAAATAAAAAATCACAAGAATTTCGTGAGAAAAAATTAAATAATCGCAATTTAGTCGTAAAAAATTTGAGTGATCCGTAAATGCGAACACGTGCCGGTACAACGTACCAAGTTTTAGTTGCAAAACAAAACAAACGACAGAAAAAACATGCACAATTTGGAATAGAAAGTGAGCCAAAACGATTGCTAAGCCTACGAGAAATACGGCGATTGCAAAGAGTGAATGCGACATTCCAGTCGATGGAAGAGGCAGCAAGACAGCCATTGCCAGAAACAGACGAAGACAGCGAAACGGGAATTGAGCAAGCAAATCGGACATCAAGGAACACAGGAAAAATGAGTGACCATTTGACAAAGGTTGGCCAATTGAAAATGGGAGGCAACCTAAGCGAGAACTGGAGACGATTCAAACGAAACTTCGACATATTCATGGCAGCAGGTGAGTTGACCGAAAAATCTGACGCAATCAAAGTCAACACCTTTTTAAATGCCGTCGGAGTGGACGCCGTAGAGATTTTCGACTCGTTCAATTTAACTGATGCTGAAAGGCTTGTGTATGCCACAGTCGTAAAATCATTCGCTGATTTTTGTGAACCGAAAAAAAACACCGTCTACGAAAGGTACGTGTTCAACCAGAAATCCGGTGAGCCATTTGACCATTTTTTGATCGAAATACGACGACTCGTACGCACATGCGAGTATGGCAATTTGGAGAGCGAAATGCTCAGAGACAGAATTGTGCAAGGCGTCACAGAGCAGAGACTGCAACGAGAATTGCTTGCAGCTACCAATCTCTCATACGATACAGCAGTGAGCAAATGCCGATCACACGAAGCAACGAACGAGCAAACATCTACGATGAGTAAATCAGTCGCTGCTGTTCACCAAGTCGAGACGAAATACTACACAAAGAAAAACAAACGGCACCGTAACAGCAACAACAACAATAAGCAACACGCAAACAACAGCAACGACGACAAGCATGGCGATAGACGGGGACAACAACAACAACAGCACACACAATCGAGTAACACACAGAACCGTAGCAACGGCAACAGTAGCAGTGGCAGCGTAAAATATAAAGATAAGTCTGACAAACTCATTACAAACTGTAGGAATTGTGGTTTGTCACACAAAATCAGAGAATGCCCAGCATTTGGCAAGACATGCACATCGTGCCTACGTAAAAACCATTTTAGCACTGTGTGCCGTTCAAAAAATGTTTCTGCAATTTCGACATTTAATTCTAACTATGATTACAGTGATAATGACGAATATTTTGTTACTTCCATTAAAAAGGTTTACGCATTCGATGACGAAGACGATGATGAAGTGAGCTATCCGTGGATCGAAAAAATTTGGATTGATGGCAGATTGGTTGCATTCAAAATCGACACGGGTGCACAAATTATGTTCTGCCGCTGAGTATTTACAATCAATTGGACACGGAGATCGAATTACATCGAACGAACACCAGGCTACGAGCGTTCAGTGGAGACAAAGTACGGCCGGTCGGTATGTGTTCTCTGTTTGGCAAGTTTGAAAATATGTCTCGCAAAATGAAAACAGCTGTTGTTGATATCGATATCATGCCAATTCTTGGATTGCAAACTGCAATTGATTTTGGTTTCGTCACACCGTCGGCACATTCGCGTGTCATCAAAAGTCGCACATTCACAAACACTTCATTCACAGGCAAAAAGTTATGACTAGATGAAGTGAGTCTCAATAAAGATGTTGTTTTGAAAAATTATTCTGACTTATTTAAAGGCCTCGGTTGTTTTGAAAAAGAATACAAAATAACATTAAATCCAAATGCAAAACCAGTTGCTCGTGCACCAAGAAAAGTTCCGCTTGCCATTAAAAATCGTTTGAAACAAAAATTAGATGAATTAGTTGAAAATAAAATCATTGAAAAGGCCAGTGGGTGCTGTGAATGGGTCAATCATTTGGTGACGATTGAAAAGCAAGATAAAGAGAAATCGCTTCGTTTGTGCATTGACCCCCAAGAATTAAATAATAATATTGTTGACGAGCATTCATTTATTCCGACGTTCGATGACGTGTCATCACATCTAAATGGCATGAAATATTTCTCAGTATTAGACCTGAAAGATGGCTACTGGCATGTCAGATTAGATGAAGCATCGAAAAAATTATGTACGTTTGCCACGCCTTTTGGAAACTACAGATTTTTAAGATTGCCATTTGGAATAAAAACTGCTCCTGCTGCATTTCAGCAGATGAATTACGATAATTTTGGTGACATTTCAAATGCTTTGATTTATTTTGATGATATTTTGATCATGGGTCGCACACGAGAGGAGCATGATGAAGCATTAAAAAAGGTTTTGGACAGAGCAAGAGAGAAAAATGTACGCTTCAACATTAACAAAGCACAAATTGCATTAGAGGAAGTAAAATATTTGGGTCACATTTTTTCGCATAATCAAATCAAGCCTGATCCAGACCGTCTTTCAGCCATTGCTGAAATGACACGTCCAACAAAGAAAAATGACCTCCAAACATTTCTCGGAGTTGTCAATTTTATGACCCCATTCATTCCAAATCTGTCTGATAAAACAGCCCCACTGCGCGAATTAATCAAGAAAAATGTAATTTATCAATGGACGGAACAACACGATAAAGTATTTGCCGAAATAAAAGAATGCATGCTTAAATCAAAAATGCTTGTTCCGTTTGATGAAGCAAAAGAACTGGTTATACAGTGCGACGCATCACAGTATGGTTTGGGCTGTTGTTTACTTCAAGAAGGTGAACAAATTTCATTTGCTTCGCGCAGCCTAACTACTTGTGAACAAAACTACTCGCAAATCGAGAAGGAGATGTTATCAATTATTTTCGCCTGTACTAAATTTAATTTCTACACGTATGGTTGAAAAATTCGTGTCGTAAACGACCACAAGCCACTTCTCGGCATACTAAAGAAAGAAATACACAAAATTCCCTCAGCAAAACTTCAACGCATGAGGCTCAAATTATTGAATTTTGATATTGAATTAGAATATGCACCAGGTAAAACTATTCAACTCGCTGACTACTTGTCACGATACATGAGAAACACAGAAGAAAAAGAAGATGAAAGTATGACAGAGGCGATTCTATCGATTAACGTGAGTGACGAACGTAAAGTTGAAATACAAAATGAAACTGAGAAAGACGAAGAATTGAAAATAATTAAAAGTTATTGCAAAAACAGGTGGCCAAACAATAAAACAAAATGTCCCGTTGAACTGAGATATTATTATAAATTCAGAAATGATATCTTCCTTGAAGATGGTATTTTGTTTTTCAATATGCGAATTATTATTCCGAAAACAATGAGAAAAAGAATTCTCGACCAGCTTCATGAGCCACACTTTGGCATAAATAAAACGTTGAATCGAGCCAAGAGCTCAGTTTTCTGGCCAAATATTAGTAATGAAATCGAAAATGTAGTCACTCATTGTCATATTTGCCAATTAAATGCGCCGAAGAATCAAAAAGAACCTCTCATACCACATGACATTCCAAATGAGCCATATAAGAAAATTGCGTGCGATATTTTGGAATACAATTCGAAGAGCTACTTATCCGTAGTTGACTTCTATTCGAAATGGATAGATTTGGTTAAATTAAAACGAAAAACGGCTCGTGATGTTAATACTGAATTGCTAAAGCTATTCGCCACATTTGGAATCCCACGAATAATAGTAGCAGACAATATGCCTTTTGGTTCATTCGAAACCGAGCAATTCGCTCAAAAGTATGACATCACCATTCAAAATACAAGTCCAAATTATGCACAGGCCAACGGCAGGGCTGAGAAGTCGGTGAACATTTGTAAAAATATTCTAAAAAAATGTGAGAATGAAGAACAAATCTACAAAGCATTGCTCGCATATCGCACAACACCGACAAAAGGCTTGACATATTCGCCAGCTCAGCTCATGCAAAACAGAAATTTAAGAACTGACCTGCCAATGCATAGCAATAAATTTCGTCCGGAATTGCCGATTGATATTGAAAAACAACAACAAGCCAAACAACAAACAAGCAAGACATATTATGACCGAACTGCTAGACCGAGAAACCTCGATCTGAAAAATAATCAAACCGTTTTATTTCGGCTTAACGAAAAATGGGAATTGGGAAATGTAGTCGCGAAACATGACTCTCCCCGTTCGTATGTAATCCGATCTCACGGTCGTGATTATCGTCGTAATATAAGGCACATAAAAATTTTCAATGAAAACCTCAATCCGATTCAATCCAAACCAAACGATACACAGGAAACACCGATTCATCAGAAACGTACTCGAAGTGGCCGAAAATATTAATTGATGTAATTTATTGATTGTTAAATTGAATTAACGTAAATTATTTCTTTTGATTTTGGCAATGTAGAGTAAAATAACCAAAATGTAAGCACAAAAGTGAACATAAGAAAAAAGACAAAATTGTAACTAGTTATAAGAAATGTTACTCATAAAGTCTTTTGCCGACCTCAATTTAGCTTAAGTGAAATAAAATGAATTTGAATTATTTTCTTTGGAAAAGGGGGGGGCAAAGGATAATAGTATTACTATAAAAAAAAGGGAGATGTAGCATAAGCCACAGAGCTTTACGCACTCATACATAAGCACGCCTTGTATACCTATCACACTATTGTATAAGCATCAATAAATCAGTCGTTTACCAGCTCTTAACCGATTGTCACTCTTTTCTTGTTACTACAAAGTTAAGTTTGAAAATAAAACCGTTTATGTAAACTCAAAATAATGGTGTTGTTATTTATAAATGAATTAGATTCTTAAGTAATTCAAAATTCCATTTTGCTTTAAAATTGAAGACTTCAGCATTTTTTTTTCTTCTCGCAAACACAGGTGTTTTGATAAATGTACTGAGTATGAGTTCATCGTGCATCTGCAGTAGGTGTGTATGAATTTTGGGAATCTGTTGCGAAGCGGGAGTAATCACAGTGGATTTGAGCACTGAATGTGTGCGTATTACGCATGCTGCGTTCATGCTTGTTCAAAATATATAAAATCAGAACATCTTGTGAGCAAAATCAGAGAAGTAATTTTATTTGAATTGTGAATCAGTTGCTATCATTCATACGAAACGATGATTCGTTTTTTCTTCATTTTAGCATCTTTACTCGCTATGCAATATGTAAGTCAATTTTAATTCAACATACTGAATTTGAAGTAATTTTATCATCATTTTTTGTTTCATTTTGTTCCTGTTGATTGTTTCGAAATTCTCTCGTACAATTTTTACACTTTTTGGTCCAATAATGATGAGTATCGTATTTTTCCATTAACAGGTAGTGTGTCAGGATGGAGCATCTCTTAAGATGAAGCCGCCGCCACCTACTAAACCATTATGTACGGGAGTTTTTTGTCGACCATGTACTGAACGCAAAACAGCGATATTATTGCAGAAGGCTCTAGATGAGTGTTCCAAGTGCTTATGTAAAAAAAATGGTAAAATCGATTGGGAAACATTTTGCAATTGGTATACCAACTGGGATCCAAAAAACCAGAAGTTCCTTCAATGCATAATAAACCGATTTACAAACCCTTGTTACAAATTATACCATCAAATGCAAGAAACACTGGACGATGGCTGTGGCAAAATATGTCATCATGAGCAATTCGATTTTTATACACTCATCTCTGATATATGCTATAATTGTAACGGATGCTGGCTTATTTGTGCCCTACAAACTGTCAATATAGTCTGGTATCGACCGGATGGTGTACCAGGAGTTATTGATAAAAAAGGTGGCGCTGCCACTACTGCAGCCGGTGATCCAGATGGTGCTCCAGTCCATTCTGATCCAATTCCACCTCCAGCCTCTACTCCTAGCAAGCCTGCTGAATCGTCTTGCAAAAACGAACATCATGATAGCGTTGGCGACAGTGGCAGTAATAATAAAAACAAGTGCAGAAAGGACAAACACTGATTTTTCGTAGCTTTAACATCACTTATAACCAACATTAATACCGTGGCTCCAGCGACTTAACCCATTTCTACTCTTCTTTCTACTTCAATATCAACATTTGTTCAATCCCCCCAAGTGGATGTTTAGCTCATGCTAGTGCTAGTATGTACAAGTACACCATTCAGTGAAAGCACTGCATATACCATCGATGCGCAAGATCCCTGTATTAAAGTTGTTCCAAAAACCTTATTAAAATCATGCATAACAGATAAATTTTTGATCTATTCATACAATTTTATTGAATGAATTGCATTGTTTCAATGAATTTGATGAATAAAATGTACATTCAACAAATCTAAAACCGTTCAGAGTTCAGTTTGTATTGCTTTTGTCCCTATCGGAAGATCACTGACTTGAATTATGAATGACGTTCGAAATGTCATTTCTGACAGATGCCATTTCCAACATTTGGGTAAACCTTAT